ATTCCACATCTCAAACTTGAAAAAGTGTTTATCCGACGAGACTCTTGTAATCCCACTCGACGAGATCGAGATCAATGAGAGCCTCAACTTTGTGGAAGAACCGGTGGAGATTATGGATCGAGAGGTCAAACAAACGAAGCAAAGATGCATCCCTATAGTGAAGGTTCGTTGGAACGCCAAACGAGGCCCAGAGTTCACTTGGGAGCGCGAGGATCAAATGAAACTTAAATATCCCCATCTTTTTACTTAGTTATTTGTACTAACTTAGCTGCTTGAACTCTAATTTCGGGACGGAATTCCTCTAACGGGGGGAGGATGTGACAACCCGACACTTTTACACTGTGCAATCGATCCATATATCTATCATTCACTTGAATTTAACATCTTTTAGCAGAATGTTGGGTCCGCACGAGTGCTTTAGGCTTAGTATATCATAGATATGGGCCTTAGGAAGGGTTAGGAAGGGTATTGCATCACAAAATCCAGTCAATCACACCAAGAGAGGTGTATGCGGAGTGCTTTAGGGTTAGTATATCATAGATATGGGCCTTAGGAAGGGTATTGCATCACAAAATCCAGCCAATCACACCAAGAGAGGTGTGTGCGGCCGCACACCCAACTGCACACCCCCTCCAGCCTCACACCTGACCCTATATATAGTAGAGGATCCTCTTCCATTCACTTTTGGCTGCACCTCCTCTCTCTCTCTCTACTTTCTCTCTCTAGAAACATCATCCAAGAACACTTAGAAGGCCTCCAAAATGTGAAGAACTTCATCTTTCAACTTGCGATAGAGGTAAAACACTTGAATCCAAGCCTAAAACTCATAGTGTTCATCGTGTTCTTTAAGCCTTGAAGGAGTGCGGCCGCACACCTTCATCTGGTGGCCGCAGACACTCAAAACATCCTCCAAAGTGAGGGTATGGCCTCTATAATCGATCTAAGACTTAGTTTTACACTTGAAACTCCTCAAAATCAACACATAGGACTCAAACAAGGAGTGTACGACCGCACACCCCTGTGTACGGTCACACACACCCCCCTGTATGGCCGCACACTCCAGTGTGCAGTCTCACACACAAGTCTGGCCGCATTCCCTAGCCACACACTCACTTAAACTTGCATAGATCATTAAGTATGGGACACGAGACACTTAGTCTTGGTGATTTCAAGCCTTTAGGGTGATTCCCCATCATGTTTAGTCATGAAACATGATAGCTCTAACTCATATATGTGTCACCATATAATTAATAGGAACCACTTGCGTTCTGAGCATCCGTTAACACTCAGCACTCATATCAATCGCACACTCGGACCCTACGTTAAATAGTGAGTTCATACCCATAAATTAACCTTTCAAACGCTTTTAAATGTTTTTATGGGGGGGGGGAGGGGGGATACAAGTTGAATCAAGTAAGCTATAGTACTAATCAAATGTGATTTATAACTTGTTGTCAAAAGAATTTTCTACATTTTCAATTTACCTTGCTAGTAAAGTTGTTTCAAATATTTATCAAACTCATTTTCATATTCGGTTTTTCTAAAAACTGCTTTTTGAAATTTTCAAAACTTATTTTATTTTCCTAATCATATCTACACCAATATATTTATATAAGTAAGGATTAAAGGACTTAGAACTGATAACTGACCTTATTTCTTGTTCTTGTTTGATTGTGGACTTAGGGTATAAGGTTATCTGTCCGACTGTCGTTGAATTCTTAGTTATATATCATATATTTTTGTGTTGGATATAAAAGGCTTCACTACAGTGCAATATATTTACGTATCAAAGGCATTCAAATAAACAACTCTATTTAACTATAATAGGTATAGTTAAGGATTACCACTCATTACTATTGTTACTATGATGCGCACTAAGGTCAGTATAATTACAAGGCTATACGTGTTATACACTATGCGAGCACACTATACACTATACTAAGGAAACACTATACACTATAAGAGACAGTATAAACTACATCAAGAGAACACTACATAGTACACTAAAAGAATACTCTATATTATACGAGAGGAAATACTATAATAGAATGTGATGCACTATTTTTCTATACGACCCATCGCTATGCGATCGTCGGGTAACCAGCGCCTCCTGGAGGGAGAGAGATCACTACGTGTATAGATCTATACCGGATGGATTCTTCCCCCATCCCGACTGCTAGCTATAGTCCGAGCCTATTAGGCCCAGGGATGACAAAACACTACTACACTATTTGTGACCTGGACGGTCAACCGCTATACCACTATCACTCAGTATGGTTACATACGAGCTCACATTCAAATCTTAATTAAACACATGAATAATTAAGGGTAAAACAGACTTCCCGAGGTGTATACACATTTAATACTATCCAGAGTTTACATTCACTACTACGTTTCACCAGCACTGACGCTGCTGGGGTAAAACTCTATTCTTTGTTTATATGAACAAGATTAAAACTATATTTTCATTACTGATGTTTTCACGAGAAAAACTATTACATTTTCAAAGAATCAAACTTACAAATAACCTAGTCTTGGTAGAAGACTACTTTTGCTGGAAAATATGGGATTTTCTAGGGATCAAACTATCTTCAAACTTTGTTAACAACCATTATACTATGCGATTTGTAAACACCTTTATACAAGCAATGACACTAAATACTTATGAACTCACCAGCTTTATGTTGATACTCATTTTCAAAATAATTTGTATTCTCAGGTCAGCAATAAACAGGTACTGATGCAGCTTTTGGGAAGATGGAGCACATAAATGACCCATCTTTTATTTTGTTTATACTTTTGGTGTCTATCAAACTGTACAGAACACGCTTGTATTACAAATATTATATTAATGTAATGGATGTTGTTGCTTGTTTTTACTATTATGCATTGTTATGATACTGTACATGACGTCCTCCACCTCAGAACGTATTCCGCCATTCTCGGTTTTAGGGTGTGACGGATTGGTATTAGAGCTTCTAAAGATCCATAACCACTAGCATGCATCACTACTAGCTCATACATTAGGCATAAATGAATCTCTCCTAAACATACGTTCTATTATGCAATTATGAGCAGACCTTTAGCCCTATTCTAGCATGCAATCGACATATACTCATACTAACATATTAAACATATCAACATGTATGTGTATTTTGGCAACACTTAGTTGAGCTCGCTTGATTATATGTGCCACACCCTTTTTCATTTTTATAAAACTTTTTAGAAAAATCATTTTTTTCTTTAAAAGATAATACCAATTCCTCAGTTTGAGTTCAGACGCACCCGAGAATATGCCTAAATCCCTTAAACCAAGGCTTTGATACCAACTTGTAACATCCCAAAAGTTCAAGGTAATTTTTTTGAAGTAACCAACAACCACCATCCATTCATTTCAAATAAAATATTATCAGAGTAATATAATGTAATCTCATAACATCAACGATAAATCAAAAGATAGTACAGAATAAAACTCCAAGGTGCGCAATGAAATCATGTCGAGCTCTTTCTTTTGGAACCGGAAGTACCTGAAACATTTAAAAAACAAAATTGTAAGCATAAAGCTTAGTAAGTTTCCCCAAAATACTACATAACAAACAAGTAACAAGATCAAATCAACATACATGCTTTCGGCTCCAACCCATATAATAGGGCCCAACCCATATAATATAATCGGGCTGATAACGTGCTCTAGCCAGCACAAAAGGGCCACACCCAGCTCAGAAGGCTGGCGTACCCAGCAGACCAGGCCCATCGGGTTTAGCGCCCCTAAGGGCAGGGCGCTAAAGCAAAAGGATAAGCGCCCGCCAAAGGCGTCCTTGCAAGAGGGTCGCGCCCGCCAAGGACGCCCCAGAGCTCCACGACAAAAGATACGGTCATGCGACAAATCAAAGGATCAGAGCATTACCGTCAAGATCAATGGCAGCGCTCTGACAAGTAAAGGAGCACAATCCTCCAATCAGCACCTCAGATCATGTCGGCTCAGGAGATCATGTCTCGTACGGACAAGTAGGATCGTTGAATATAAAAGGCACAACTCATGACCTCGACAGGTAAGACGCCTTCTCCAAGCTATACTCATACACACTCCCTAAAACCTACTGACTTGACCGTCGGAGTGTCTTTCCTAGAGCACCCTCCCAGGAAACGGCTGACGACCTCTTTTCTCTGTGATGTTGTAGGAGCAACTCAAGAACTGTTATCGAAGTCTACTCAGAGCAAGAGCAAGGTCACATCATTTGGTGTCATCCGTACGTGTGACGAAGAACGAAACCAAAAGCACACAGTTCAACGACAAAAATAGAGTCCGATGGCATCGGCGAAACCAAAAGGGCACCAGGAAGTCCGATCCGATCAATGACACCGTTGGACCAAACACCACTGCCTTCAACGACAATAGAGAAGTCCTAGACGAAGGTGGTTCCGCGGTAACGGCCGAGCCACCGAGCGGTTCACAACCACGAGGACATTTTTCGCCAATAACCGCCTCCATGGCAATCCGACTCAGCCACCACAGCCGCCGACTACGTCATCAGTGTCGAACACCAACACCATAGTGCCGACACTACAACAGACGACAACTCAAATGATGATGCCACCGGTCACACTACCACATACACCACCATTCGGCCAAGCACAACCGGTAATAAACTAAACACCACCATTATTCAATCCGATGATCCAAGGGCAACCACCAATCCCTCGGATGCTACTGCCATTAAACCAAATCGCTAGTGCTCAGCCATTGCACTAAACACAGATGGCCATGCAGCCAACACTTTCTCAACCACCACTGGCTCAAGCCATGACAACCCAGTTGCCTATTTTCTTCTCTTCGCCGCCTATGTCAAGCAAACCTATTGTTACTACAAACACACATCTCCAAGAAACCACCACGAGCAACTTTCAAGCCCAAATCCATGCCTCGTCTGAACTCATTTAGCAATGTTAGAAGCTCCAATAACTGTCTCACCCATGGCTAAGATGGATTTTCTCTTGGCCTACACACGACAAACATCAGAGATAATACCATCTTTGCTATCCTCATTCACCCCAACCAAACTAGAACAAGTGCCAGTCAAAGGCGCAACAGTGGTAATGGGACAAGCAACCACAACAATTGGTGTCGGCGTCCCAGTAGCCACAGAAGGAGTAGATGCGGAAGTGGCCAGGGAAATCTGGTCAACACGTCGAGGGGGAGGAAGGATATCGACCAAATCTACCTCTTGGTGTTCTAGTTTCCCCCGATAACACTTTCGTAACACTTCGGCCATGGATAGAGTGGACTCAACACCTGCAAAACGACAGGACATGAGGAAAACACATAGCCAAGGTGCATGGATCAACCAAACCAAAACCCCTAACCAATATAAAGTAAACAAAGGGTGGGGGAGAGGAGGAAGAGTAAAGGAAAACACTCACTATCGACAACATAGAAGAAGATCGCAATTTTCCCCCAACGCATCCAAGAGGGACTCATTCCCAACCTGACAGCATCACCTCAGAATAATCCTCAGGAGTAACCTGGATGTTCTTTAGAAGGTAGACAAAACTTTGGTTGTGCGGAAACAATTTGGGAGTAAGATCGGAAAAGGACTTAGCGCGATATCGCCCACTGCCCGCCAAACCATGATTCACCCATAACCACTTGCCTTGCCTGTTCTTGGGGATCTTTCCATCGGGGACCAAGGTATGCCCCCCTCGCCGAACAGAAGAAGTGCACTTGTCTCTAGTGCAACAGAAACTAAAGAAGTATTTAAAGACAAAATAGTCGGGGAGAACGCCGTTGGCGCTGCAAATCATCTCAAACGCTACTACCTTGTTCAAAGCGTTGGGAGTCAACATTTGGATGCTACAACCTTCTTATCGCAGGACCTCTTCCTGGAAATCGGTAAGAGGAAGGTGTAGCCTGGCGTCAAAGGACTTCAGATAGACCCCCATTTTGCCAGGACGGGGAGACGTAATAGATGAACCATGAGGCAGGAACTTGACCCCATCCATTGAAGAAAGGTCGTATGTCTGCTCCAAATACTGGTACTCAACACTAGAAGGGAGATTTCCAGATGAATCAGCCATGGAAGAAGAGAAGAAAAGAAATGAAGAAGAAAAGCAAATAAAAGAGAGGAAGCGTGAGGAAAAATAAAAATGTCGATAAGTGTTCTTATATGAGAAAAGGAAAAGTCAAATATTCAAAATCCCAGACACATGACGTAACCGGTAGTCATGATGAGCGGTCACGTCGTCATTAAAAACTTGAATGACGGGCGAATAGGAAACATGCACGTATAGAGTAATTAAGTCCAAAACACCGTGGATAGCACAACAACACTACGTCTACCGGATTGGGGGGCTTGATAACGTGCCCTTGCCAGCAAGAAATGGCCGCACCCAACTCAGAAGGCTGTCGTGCCCGGCTGACCAGGCCCAGTGGGTTTAGCGCCCCTAAGGGCAGGGCACTAAAGCAAAAGGATAAGCGCCCACCAAAGGCGTCCTCTCAAGAGGCTCGCGCCCGCCAAGGACGCCCCAAAGCTCCACGACAAAAGATACGGTAGGCGACAAAGCAAGGGATCAAAGCATTACCGGCAGGACCAATGGCAGCGCTCTGACAAGTAGAGGAGCACGATCCTCCAATCAACTCCTCGGATCCTGTCGGCTCGGGAGATCCTGTCTCGTACGGACGAGCAGGATCGTTGAATATAAATGTCACAACTCATGACCCCGACAGGTAAGACGCCTTCTCCAAGCTATACTCATACACACTCCTAAAACCTACTGACTTGACCGTCGGTGCGTCTTTCCGGGACCCTCCCGAGAAACGGCTGACAACCTCTTTTCTATGTGATCTTGTAGGAGCAACTCGGGAACTGTTGCCGGAGTCTACTCAAAGCAAGAGCAAGGTCGCATCAGGGCCTAACCCATCAAAACACACAAATAAATGCAAGAGTCACATACACAATCTAGCATCATATAGTACAGTAAAAAGACTCACATGATTCTAACAAACAAAATCCTAAATTATTGTGAACTAGATGAACTTCTCCATCTCTAGTCCCTAGAACTCCACTTAGATTACTCCAATATCACACTTAAATTATATTTTATTACTCTTTTATCATATATTAAGTTATGTATGACTCCAACACATGCTTAGGTTCCCATACACGTCTAACACCCACATAATCCTAAATCGACTTTATTCTCGTTCTAGACACACATCCCAACCAACTTGATATATTTATAACATTAATTACGTCAATACATTAAGACTTAACAAAACTCAGATTTCATGAACTAAAATACAGTACTTCGGCTTTGAGAGTTTCGAGACATATTAATGAAAACGGGTGTCGTGTCTTGATTCAAGACACCAACACAAAATGAAGCAAAGTTAAGGGAGTTGAGAGCTGTTCTAAGCATCCCTAAACATTCTATAAATCAGATCCAAGAGCTTAAACAAACGAAATGAACTTGTGCTTTATAGAATCCCGAAATAGGGAAACATATGAGGCCTAAAAGGCATTTAAAGCAATAAACTCGGTTCTAAATGTCCATTCTTGGTATTACATGCTTAAGGGACCCATAAGCATCATAATAAAAAGTGCACAACACGTGAAATCCCGTAAAGTGAACATAAACAAGGTTTTGAAGACCTTTTATGGCTGCTTTCATGGTTTAAACCGACCAACCATTGTCTCTGAAATAAAAGGGACTGTAAAGCATCATTAGGAGTAATTAAAAAGGTTTTGAACTCAACCATTTTGACAGAAAAACTACCAAAACCGAGAACCTCAAGAAGTAGAGATTTCTCGGCTGTTGAGGAACACCGGAGGTCCCTCCGGCCACCACGTCACCAGAAATGGACCAAGAGGAGTACTAGGGATGGAAGGAGGAAGAAAAATACCTGTCGGATGACTTGTATTGAGTTCAAGCACAGTTTCTTCCTTGAAACCCATCAATGGCGGTGTTTAGATTCACAAGATAACTTTCGAGATTTTCAAACGAAATAGGGAAATGGACCGATCTAATAGTGGGGATCAAATTTGAGGGGTTAAGAGAATTGCTGTCTGAGATTCGATACGTGCAGAGGCAAAAACGGGAAAATAGTTCAGACCACGTGCGCGCGTCTGATGCATGAGGAAGGAGACAGCCTCTTCCCAAATTTAGCACATATAGTCCCTGAGGTCTTTGCATATTACGGTTTCTACCCTATTTTCTATTTTTCTTAATTAAATGGTTTCTAAAAAGTTGCATACAACCCCCTTGACATACATATGTTGGAATAGTGTCTAAGGCTGCAACTATATTAGGCAAGTATTTGACCCGGTTTTGCATGGTCCTTTTGGGTTGCCTTCACCATAGCAACTTGATGGATGATTTGTTAAGAGAGAGTAAATATTATAAGGAATAATATATGGTTATTTGATTAATATAAGTTATAGATTAATTGGAATTAATTTGGTGACTTAAAGAGATTAATTAAATAAGAGGGTATAAACTGTCAATTTTTTGATAGTTACACTTTAGACTATAAATCATTATCCAAGATAGGATGGACGATTTCTAGGGCTTGGATAAGCCAAAATCGTCCATAGGGTTATCAAGGAAAGGATATAGATTAACTTATAGTCTAAGTTATCCAATTATGGTTAAAGTTGTAATCCTTAAGGAGTCTACAAGTATAAATAGACCCTAGGGGTGAGGGAATTCGACACATCATCTAAAGTAGAGATACTCTGGCCAAATTCCTCCCCTCTCCTCTCTCCTAAATCATCTTTCTTGCTATTGGTGTTTGTAAGCCATTAGAGGAGTGACATTTGTGACTCTAGAACCTCCAAGACAACAAGATCAACAAGGAATCCAAAGGTATGGTTCTAGATCTGTTTCAATGTTGTAATTTATTCTAATTAGCCATTAGAAGTCTTGGATTCAAAGCATGTTTAATTAGAAAGCCTAGATCCGAGCATTAGGGTTTTGCATGCGCACATAGGAAAGTTCTTATGGCTAAAACCCATCAGTGGTATCAAAGCCTAGCTTGGTTTTCTTTAAATTGTTGCTTGATTAACTGAAAAAAACCTGCAAAATTCTATTTTTTGGGTTCTGAGTCATGGACTCAGCGAGTTCCAAAGTGGACTCGGCGACTAGGCCTGACTCGGCGAGTCCCTTTGTGTACTCGGCGAGTCCGGGCGTTAGGATTAGGAAAAACCGGGATTTTTTCATGTTTATCTTATGGAAACTTACCTTAATCATATTAGATCAACCCTAATCCGATTTTTTGATATATATGACTATAATCTTGATCTAATTAAAGATATTTATCATCTAATAAAATATTTAATCTCCTTATATGATAATTGATTAATTATTTTGATAATTATCTTAAAAGAAATCTTGGATAAATCAAATAAAGATAATTAGGATATTAATTGTTAATTGGAATTATTTGTTATTTGATCCTCCATGTTTTAAATGTTTAAAACTTACCCGGAAGTTTTGAAATTTATATTTGTGATTAAAAGGTTTTAATTTAGACAACTTAAATTTCAAACCCTATGTTTTAAAAGGTTTAAAACACAACCTTATACTAATATGATATTACTAGAATAATATATATATATATATATATATATATATATATATATATATATATATATGTATGTATGTATAACTAAATGCTAGTTTACCGTTAGTAGGCCTCATTCACGAAGCCGATCTATAAAGTGGGTATAAGGTTGCGACCTATAAAATGGCGCTTAATGGGTGTACACTCACACCCACCGCTTGCTTGATTGGTGGAGGGTCGTTAGCCGAACGGGTAGGATAGGGCAACCTCATCCTCTCATTAAAAGTATAATAAGAAATACAAAGTAACTACACGTTTTAAAAAATTTCCCAATCTTAGTTATTTTAGGAAAAGTGAATTGATGCAATCCCATGAAATTACACTTTACACCCTTGCTAAGAAGTTAGTGGAGCGTGTGTGGTTTACCGGCACACTAATTGGTTCTAAGCAAAGGTGGCAAAGGGTGATTCATTGTTTATCATAGTTCGATGGAGCGTGTGTGGTTTACCGGCACATCGAATAGGTGATCGTTACAATGAAGGCACCATGTGAATTTGCATGGTAATTCACACCCGCTTTGTGATCCTCGGCATCCCAGTCACAAACAAGAGGGGCATATCGAGATTTAAACATGCCATTGAATAGTTTCAATGAATCTCATCTGAACCTAGGAATTCTCAATACACTTAGGACTAATAGTCTAGGTTTTGTGATGGAGAATTAGTGAATCGTCATTCACTTACCTTCAATTTATTTTCATGTTAGATTACGGCATCCCTTTTCTAATATGTAAATGTTATTGTTGGATCCTAACCCTAATTTTTCTTATTGGGTGATAATTAGGGATTCTTATTCTAATCTATCTTTGTCCTTTCTATAGATGTCGAACACAAACAACGCTGCTGCGAGTTCTTTCACGTTGATGAGCCTTTGCCAAAAGGTCACCTTCGATGGAACGAACTTTAGCGAATGGATAAGATACATTCGCACCATTGCTCGCTATGAGGATAAGGAGTATGTCCTCGATGAAAAGCTTGAGAAGATCAACCCCGAAATCGCTACTCCGGCCGAAATCACCGCTTTTGAGACTCATGAGCGAGATGCAACGAAGGTACATTGCATCATGATTGCCACCATGAACTCTGAATTCTAAAAGTCCTACGAGGACATGTATCCATACGAGATGCATCAAGACTTATTGGAGAGATACCACCAAAACGCGAGACAAGAGCTTTATGAGATTTTCACTAACATGATCTCCGCTAAGATGGGTCATGGAGAATCTCTTACCGTGCACCTGCAAAAGATGCAAAGGTATGTCGATCGCCTTCGCAAGTTAAATGTTGACTTTGGGGAAGACTTGGCGATCGACATGGTGCTTCACTCTTTGCCTCCGATGTACAACCAATTTAGGATGACCTACCACATGAACAAAGAGGAGGTCACCCTAAGCAAACTCCAAGGTCTTTTAAGAGTCGCTGAGAGCAACTTCAAAGACAAGTCTGTTGCACCTACT